CAGTTGGAGGTGCTAGGTGCTCGGTTGGAAGGTAATTGGCACTTGGTTGGGAGGTGCTTGACACTTGGTTGGGAGTTGTTGAGTTGGTTGGGAGGTGCTCAGTTGGGAGGTGCTAGGTGCTCTTTTGGGAGGTGCATGATGCTCAGTTGAGAGGTGCTAGGTGCTTGGTTGGGAGGTATTAGATTAGGAGGTGCTTGGCACTTGGTTGGGAGGTACTTGGTGCTTGCTTGGGAGATGCTAGGCCCTTGGTTAGGAGCAGTCTTTCCCGTGCTCAGATTTGAGCTGACTTTGCCTGCATCATCTTTGGGAGCCAGCCGTCCCTGTTTGGCTCTGGCTTTTCTTAACCATTTGAAATGAAATGATGCATTTACTAAAGTGCTTGCCTCTAAATTCTCTCCCAGAAGCCCTCCAGGATCACACCTGTGGCTGTTCACTCCCACCCCTGCCCCTGGGGCAGAGTTGACCTTAGTGTTGATTCCTGGGCCTCTCCCCACACCCTCCCTTTGCTCCAGTCATTTGAATGAGAGAGTGAAAACAGTGGCGTGCCGGCTCCCACTCATCAGATCCAGTGATGCTGATGACACCAGCCATGGTCCTACCCTGAGGTGCTGACTGTCCCTTTAGGCTCCATGTCACTGGATGGGGAGAGGGAGAGGATTCCAGCCTGTCACAGCGCCCATGGGCAGCAACCCGCACTCCGCTTGCCAAATACTGACTTGAATAGTGTCCGCAGGCAGAAGTGTGGGCGCTGAGTCCTGGGGCAGGACCACTATCCTGAGAGTGGGGGTTTTGTCCTCTGTCCTGGCCACAGGCACAAGGTTGCAGGAGCATCTTGGCCTTCCTCCCGGCCCTGCTAGAGCCCCTCTCATCTCCTGTGCCCTCCTGCAGTGCTGTCCCTCAGCAGGCTCCTTCCTCAGAGGAGGTGGTTCCTGCCCTGGCCATCATCAAGAAGGGAGTCTCTGGGTCCGAGCGTCCACCTCAGTGTGCACATGGCCAAAAGGATCAAGAGCCCTGCAACCAGGAGGGCCCCTCCTGAGACTCGACTTGGTTGCAGTTTCAGCAACGCAGGTGGACCTGTGCAGACGTCAAGTCAGGGTCGGGGGAAGGCACGTCCCTCCCAGTGCTAGGGTGCCCACATGGGTGGCGGAGTGGGCTCTGGGGATAACCCTCTGGTCCCTGAGGATCTGGGGCCAGAAAGACACTGGCTTAGCATAGGAGGAGGCCCCAGCCTGTACCAGCCTGACAAGGGGCCGCAGTGACCCCCGGGTCTCAAATTAAAGCCAGGGTGAAACCCAACCCCCTCTTTAAAATGCAAAATGGCCCTTCCCTAAAATAACACACAACCACAACCGCAGCTGGCTCGGCACGAAGGCCATGCTGCAGCGCTTTTCTTCGGAAGTCGATTTTCCTCCATGGAATTTGGCTGGGCTTGTGGTAGCATTTGAGACTCTGCAAGAGCATGTCCACGCCAACCAGTCTCTGGTCACCGACTGGCTCGCCAATTCCCCATTTAAGGAAACCAGCAGGCCTCTGTTATGAAACTCGGGGAAGGAATGTGAATTATGCTCCATGTGGAGGCCCCTGCTTCTGCACGTTTTCCAGCTTTTTCCATGGGCCACGGTGGGGCGTTTGGGGGAAGGCCTGTGTGGATCCCCTCCAACTCCAGACTGATGCCCCTGACACCTTCTTAGGAGGTGTCAGGGGTTCTGGGCTCTGTCCGGGCTCCTAGGGGTCGGGGACGTGCAGGTAAAGCAAGGCGTCTACCCCAGGCACGCGGGAGGCTTCACTGGGCTGGCTGCCAGCACCTTGGAGTCCCAGGCTGCCAGGAAAAGTTCACCCACACCCGGGCTTTGCTGGCGAAGGGTGAGTCATATGATGGCCCGGCTCAGGCCCTCAGCAGACACCAAGTGTGTTCCCAGAGCTGCCGCTCAGCGCCTGTAACCTGGGACAGGCCAGCCTTTTAGGGACTCAGTTTTCTCATCTGTCTAATGGGAATAGCAATTCCCAGCTTCCCTGTGTCGGCTGGGTTCTCACTAGATGCACAGGAGACAGCAGCTTGAGAGGGACTGTCTGGAGAGCTGTTCCATGTGATGCCCCTCTTATCCTGTCCCCATGGAGAGGGGCTTGGTGATGGCAGCTGGGCGCGGTCACCCTCTGCAGGGAGGACGGTACATTTGGTTCGAGGCTCCTGTGGCCTCATTCTTATTGATCTTGTCACAAGAGCCCCTCTGGAAGGTGGAGATGGTGCTTGCTCGGGAATGACACTGCTCAGGGAAGCAAGGCCCCCTGGATGGGGTGGCCCCGTGGTGCACCTGAGGCTCCCGAGGCTGCAGAGTGCCATGGTGGGGGAGGAGGTGGCTGTGCGTCTGTCATTTGCCTCTTCTGCTGGATGGAGACCCCCAGAGGGCAAAGCAGGGCTTGTTCTCCCTGTGTCCCGGGGTCACTCATGCCCGGCTTGGCCGAGCTGGCTGTTTCTAAATCAGTTGCTAAGGCCAAGAGGAATGGGGTTTGCCGCCCACCCCAGGAAGAAGGGAGCAAGGGAGTCAGCACCATTTTACATGGACCAAGAGTGGGAGGAGGCTCCTCAGAGGACATTCCGGGCACTGGCCCCTTTCTCTGCTGAGAAGGGTGGACAAAACACAATAGGTCTGCCAGCTCTCGTCCCAGCTGGCTGGGATGGGAACTGAGTCCTCCAAGCTGGTGTGGTTCCCCTCTGGTCTCCGCTGAGAGCCACTCCCAGCCTCTGGGCACATACCCTGTGGTCACCTCCAAACAGGGCACACTGGGCAGTGGTAGGGGTGGGAACTGCCATCCCAGACCTGGTGTAGGGCATATTGTCTCTGCTCACTTTGTCCTGGTTCATTGGCCAGAGATCAAGTAAGGGCGCCCTGAGGACACGCTTGTTTCTCATGGATGGGTGATGCTTGTCTCTTGGGAACATGGAGAAGCAAAGTCACATTGCCCATAGACCTACCCAGGAACAACTGCAACTGCAGCTTCAGGCTCCATGGGTTTTACTCTTTTATTCTTTTTTTTTTTTTTTTTTTAAGGCAGTCTCACTCTGTCATCCAGGCTGGGGTGCAGTGGTGCAGTCACAGCTCACTGCAGCCTCGACCTCCCAGGGCTCAAGGGATCCTCCCACATCAGCCTCCCAAGTAGCTGGGATTACAAGTGTGTGCCACCATGCCCAGCTAATTATTTTTATTTTTTGTAGAGATGGAATTTTGCCATGTTGCCCAGGGTGGCTCAAGTGACCCACCCACCTCAGCCTCCCAAAGTACTGGAATTACAGGTGCGAGCCACCATGCCTGGTCATGTTTTGTTGTTTTTAAATAGACTTAATTTTTTCAAACAGTTGTAGGTTCACAGCAAAACTGATGAGCAGCAGGTACTGAGTTCCTATATATTCCCTGTCCTCACACCCACACAGTCTCCCCAACTGTCAGCATCCTATGCAGGGTGGTACATTTGTTACAACTGATGAAAGCCGGCTGACGCACCATCACCCAAAATCCATGTTTACACGAGGGTTCGCCCTTGGTTTGTACATTCTTGGTTTAGACAGATGAATAAGGACATGCACCCACCATTCCATGTCACACAGGATAGTTCCACTGCCCTGATTTTCTGTGCTCCACTCATTCATCCCTCTCCTCGCCAACTCCTGGCAACTACCTGATGCTTTACTGTCTCTGTGTATTTGCTTTTTTCAGAGTCTTATAGAGTTGGACTCATACAGACTGGCTTTTTCACCTACTAATATGCATTTAAGTTTCCTCCATGTCTTTTTTTTTTTTTTTTTTGAGAGGGAGTCTCGCTCTGTCGCCCAGGCTGGAGTGCAGTGGCCGGATCTCACCTCATTGCAAGCTCTGCCTCCCAGGTTTACGCCATTCTCCTGCCTCAGCCTCCTGAGTAGCTGGGACTACAGGCGCCCGCCACCTCGCCCGGCTAGTTTTTTGTATTTTTTAGTAGAGACGGGGTTTCACCGGGTTAGCCAGGACGGTCTTGATCTGCTGACCTCGTGATCCACCCGTCTCGGCCTCCCAAAGTGCTGGGATTACAGGCTTGAGCCACCGTGCCCGGCCCTTCCTCCATGTCTTTTCATGGCTTGATAGATCATTTCTTTTCTTTGTTTCTTTTTTTTTTTTTTTTTTTTTTTTTTTTTTTTTTTTTTTTTTTTTTTTCTTTTTTTTTTTTTTTTTTTTTTTTTTTTTTTTTTTTTTTTTT